TAAACAGTAAATCTAAAAAAGTTTCGTTTTGTCATTCACTATAAGGGGATGCTTTTTTTAAATTCGATTGTTCGATTGTTGGTTCCTTTTTTTTTTCTTTAAGACAACAGCAAGAAGATCAGACCATTATGAAATCTCAGGAGAATTATCTTTTGTTTCTAATTCATACTTTTGAAACTAAACGTCTTATGAATAAACCATAAATATAAAAAAGTATTGTTTCATCATTCTCTATAAGCTGATACAACGAATACAAACATTTCTCTTAGTCCACTTCTCGAGAGCGTATATATACGTCCTTCACAGTCAAAGGGTAACTATCAATTGGTTTGAGAACCTTGTCAACAGTCAATTGAAAGTTTCGAAAAGGTTTGGAAATATGAATTCATCGCAAAATAGCTTTCTACTTCCATCCCTCTTCGAAAAAATTACAAATATGGTGGTGTATTAAAATTAATGGTAGTGTATAATGGTTTCAGTTATCGTGTATTATTCAAATAAAAGTTTGCCCATCTCATGCTATAGTTTGAACGAGGGAATAATTCAGGACGGGGACGCGGCGCGATTTCTTTCATTGGAACGAGCCCTGTTTGATTTCTCGCGCCACTCTCCTCTCGTGCTCTACCTACCGTGTATTATTTCGGCTCAGTGGCGTTTTTTCGCGTATCACGCGCCTGTAATCCTCGCGTAATGCGTGTCCAATCATCCCTCCACGGAGAAACGAGGAAAGGTGAGCAGGGTGAAAGGCAATGGCGCACCCAGGGGGGCTCGAGGGAGCAATTGCACCCTCCTCTGCTACTAATATCCAGTCTTTATCCGGTGACATTTTTCTATATTCGAATGTAAAAGTAAAAACTAATGAAATAATACCTCGACGGTGGAAGTTTTAATCTTCCAGGATTAGCCTTCATGGTATTTAGTAATGTAATAATCTCTGTTTGACAGCTAGATCCTCGGATAATACATTGTATACAGTTCTGACAAAATATAGTTGTATACTATTATAGTTATATACTATATATAAAATATAGCCACGATATGGACCGATTTTGCTATAGATCTAATGATGGTCACCCTGTCCCACTCTTTTAATTTTGTCAATGTACTCTCCCTATTTGTAAAAGTTTTAACATTTTAATTAAAATTTATCTCTACAGCTTTAAATTGATTTGAAATAAAAATGAGTCTCTACCTTCTCCGTTAACGTTTCGCGAAGTGTCTGAAATTACTTTTGCTCGTGCATCACTGGTTAGTTTCAGTTGCACCCCACCAGTTAAATTTCTGGGCGCGCCACTGTTAAACGCCAAAAAAATAGTAACTTTTCGAGAAAAGGGTTGAGGGCACGGTTCTCCCGGGTGTTGTGCCAATAGCAGTTCGTTCGGTTAGGAGAGCAGAAAAAAACGAGGGTCCGCCGCGTACAATCGGCAGAAATCTTCCACCCTTCGCGGGAATGATTTCATTAAGTCTCGGCTAGCGATCGAGAGTGTGTGTAGTGGAGAAAGAGGGAGAGTGGAAAAAAGGGGGCCCGCAGAGGCGGAGTTTGTGCAAAAAATTAATATCACAGGGGGACACGACTCGAAAAAAATGTCGGAACAGAGAGACAGACAGAGAGAGGGGGAGAGAGAGAGAGAGAGAGAGAGAGAGAGAGAGAGAGAGAGAAAATGGATGCGTTGGACATTTACGGACCGTGATTTTCGCAAACGTAGTAGAATAGAAGTGTACACACTGGTTGAAATTTATTAATCTGATCAAATTTAATTACGAGTACGTTGACACGTGGAATACTTCGCGGATACTTGTGAAATAAATTAGAAGACGTTTACTTTTCGTAGCGAATCGAGCAAATATAATTTCATTTGGCTAGAGAGATGTAAATAAATAGATAAATAAGCCAAGGTTATCCAGAGATTAATGCTGAATATATTTTACTGTATAAAATGAAAATCGAAGTAAACTAGTAATGCATACAATTAACATTGGTATAAAAGTATTCGCGTTTTTAAATTTGTTCTTGTTGTATAAGCAATTACGTGTCATTAATTTAACGATAACCTTGGTGCAGATCTAAAATGTTTACATACGCATACGTTTATAGACGAATGAGATTAAGATTGCTTGAATTGCGGAGAAAAGTCTTCTAATTGCGAATTATTATTTATAATTATCATGGCTACCTCACACCGCGAAATTCGATCCCACAGTGCGTGATTTTTTATAGACTAGAAATGATAAAGAACGAATCGAGAAATAGAGAAAAATTGTACAGTTTATTTTCGATTATTTTTGCGTTAAACAAATATTAATTCAAATTTGTTGCTCCGATAATCGACAAATTCGCATCTGTTTGTTTGGACAGATAAACTCTTAACCAGCAAATGTATTAAATCTTTACAGAATGATAAATGTTTAGTCGATCAAAGCAGTTTATTTTCGTCTTAACCTCAACTGTATCGCGTGTTTACAGAAAAGGGAACGGTACGATGTACAAGACAAATTAGTTTCTTTGTTTTTCAATTCTTTGGGATGTTGGACTGTTTTTCTCCTACCATTGACTTCATTTTTGTGTAGGATCACTATTTTAATTCAATAAGCGAAATCATTAATTTGTTTAATTCAATTTTGATTCAATAAGTCAATTCAAAAATTTGTTTAATTCTATTTTAATTCAATAAGTCAATTCAAAAATTTATTTAATTCAATTTTAATTCAATATTTAATACATGTAACTAATTGCGCACTGTGTGGTTAAAAATAATATAAAAACTAAACGTAGGGGTTAATCCTTGCTCTTCGAGAAGTACTAGGAGCAAAAGCAATACTACACAATAAACACATCCTCTTCTTCTTCTTGCCAACCTTTTAATTATTACATGATCGAAACGCTAGATGATAAGTATAATTGAATTTTAAGGATTAATTCAGACTTACTCTTTAAACGTGTTTGTGACCCTTCAAGCTTATAAAAGGATTAAGACATTATTCATCAAATACAAACAACATTTAATCGAGGTAAAATTTGGAAACGACAATTTAAGTTTCTTTTTAGATTTAATTTTTTGAAATGGATCGCTGTATTTTTAGAATAAGTATAAACCTATAAATAACAGCTACAGTATGAATTACTTTGCGATATTTAAAGTTTAAAGTAGGTTATCAACCCAAGGATGAAGTAAACTATTAAATAGGAATCGTTGAGTTTCGAGATTGAACTTCGATACATCTCATCTAGATATATATACTATAGAATAAAACTAATAGGTTCGCGACGTTTTGACTTCACAATAGATTATCAATTAATTAAATGTAAATACATTACTCGCTAGAGTACTCGTCCATTTCGTTGTATGTTTTACGTATTTAAATTACTTCAAATTATTTTGAAATTCGTCAATTCGAACATACTATAATACACTCTTCTTAGTGTAATTTAAATCACTTCAAAATGTAATTTTGGAGAAGCAGAATTGTTATTGGTAAATAAATGATCACTTGTAATCTTTTGTGATAAAGGGCAGTTTCTCAACTATTAGAGGGACCGGAAAGCGATATCGTTTCTTTAATTCAATTCGATATATTAAATTCAAGTTTTTTAAAGTTTTTATTCTTAATCAATTACGTAATCGCCCTCGTCATCAACAACCTTTTGCAATCTAGTGTTTAAACAAGTATTGACATTAGAAACTATATTACTTTCCGTTCCCTCTAATATATCGATTACTAATTCCCGTTACCATAGAATAAAATTCATAATGATACAATGTAATAGATAGGAATTATACAAAACAGATATTAACTGTTTTATTAATTAATTTGTAGCGAATTTCCATGTATAGAAATACTCGTTTAAATACACGGCGTGCAATGTCTCGTTAATTACTAGTTCTCTTTGGCATAGAATAAAATTCATAACGATACAATGAAACATACAGTAATTACACAAAATATAATATCGATTTGCAGCGCATTTCCATGACTACATCATGTGTAAAGTCTTGTCAATATTAAAATTAACTACAACTTGTTATTCCAACATAAAAATCATGAAACGTATGGGTCGAATACTTTTGCGAGTAACTGTATCGGAATGACATGACAGTGAGCGTGTTAAGTAACGTGCACACAAACGTATTAAAATGCAACGTAACATATTTCGGAAAGAGTAATCTGTTGGATTGATAACCTCTCGTAAAGTTGACGTGACGGCATCTAGCGTCTCGATAACAAGAGCCAGAGGAGGTCGAAGAAGAGGATGCGGTTGTTGTACTCCCCTGAAACGGCAAGAATAAACGTATACCGTGTGCAGACGGAAAAGAAGTTTCGGGAGAGCATATCGCGGATCGGTCCGATTCGCGGGCGTTCTGCTGTGAAAGGCCGTCCCAGTTTTCTATTTTAACGCGGCGAAAGAGACGAAGAGCGAAGTCCAAGTCCTTCTGGAGCCACGCCAGCCGACGATGTTTACCGACGAGGGAGGTTTTAGCGCGGAGACGTGTAACAGAGAACAGGGAGACAGGGAATCGTTTAATTAGGGAAGCGGTATCAAAAATCGCGTGCGCACGATGGGGTTCGACGCGGCTTTATCGAAGGACGACTCTTGAACCGTAGTTTGCGACGGCATAAAGCGCGCCGCGAACGCGAACGCGAACGAGAACGAGAACGCTACGCGTGCTTTCTGGAGCGATAAGATCGGAGAATCGTTACACCCGCGCGTAAATATCGAGGCTCTTAAGACCGACTTCGCCATCACGGAGGATATGGAGGGGTTGGGGCTAATTAATTAATTAACGAATGCCAGATACCAGACACGTGGAGCGCCTATTTCTAGTTCCCTTCGAATTTCATCCTGTATTATTCTGGTTCGGAAAAAAAGCCACGCGATCTATTCCCAATTAATGATAATCCTCATCGTGGAAAATATGAAGGGCTACAGTTTGCAAGCGAATTGAAATTACACCCGAAAGGAATTCCCATGGGCTCTCCCGTTATTGACCCGATCGTTTTACCTTTAATCGTTGCCATGGGGACTTGGAACACTGCGACAAAGAGAGACCAGCATGAAATGGAGATCAATTTGCATTAATTCGAGGCAGTTAAATATCGTTTAGAATCAGATGCAATACCCAACCAACGTCCCACGTTCGACACAAAGAATAATAAAAACAAGCGTTTCGTTTTCGCGACTCGACGGGTGCTTTACTCGCATCTCGCGAAATCTTTATGATCGCGGGTTTCAGGGTAATGGAAATGGTCAATTTTTTTGGGAGCCTCGCTGTTCGTGAGCAACTTTCACAGATCACGCGGCCACGAGTTTTAACCAGAGAGATATTGTAGATAGAGCAAGGGAGACAATCAGACAGCGGCCTAAATGTGGAAATGTCCCACTGTTGGAAAGAGAAAAAACACCGCGATACTCTATCTATCTCTGAGCTTCCATTAATGTGAAATATATATGTAATTATTAAACTGCGGATCTTTATGCAAAATAAAATCTTCGCGAACGTGCCTACAAAAATTGAACCTAAATAAGAATTTATTTTATTTTGCAAATATTATAACACGAACATTACTTTCAATCTTTTTTATACTCTTGCATATTGTGTGCATTTTGTAGGTTCTTGCACATTCAAATTTCCTATAAATGCATAAAGATCCCCAGTCTAGTAATTATTAAAAGCGTAAATGATGATCGTTTATTATTAACCCCTTGCACTAGGTTGAAACTCGGTAAAAGCCGTGTCAAACACGAGCGCCCGAATGGTCGCATCAAATTTAATAACGAGCCTGACTCGTGAAAATACTGCAAGGGTTTAAGAGAAAAAAGGTTATGGAAATGCGTTTGTAGACAGAGACAGGTAGGGCACCGTGGTTCTCTTTTTCTTTTTAGCTCCAGTACTTGCTCCTCTACTTTATTTTAACCAGACCTGGACGAAATTTTCATCTAATTCATCAATTTCGAATAAACAACTTTAAGTCGTTGGCTAACAAAAATTACGATCTGAAGTGTATAATAAAATGATAAATCATAAATACATTATTTTAAAGTTAATTTTTGAAGTTAGGAAAATGTGTTTGGATCTTGAATCAATAAATTATCATTCCACAGACACTTCTTATTAAATTGTATATGTTAATTAAAGAGAAATGAAATTATAATGTCTATAAGAAACAACAAATATATATGAAAATATATAAGAACAAATTAAAAAAATGAGTTTTATATATATTGCACGTGACATTCACAAGAAAAACGAAAGAGGAACAGAAAGTATTACATATTCTTTAAACAAGTGGCAGTCTAGCATGCCACTAATCTGTAATATAGTAAGGCGCGTAATTCAATACATTATATTGTATACTAGCTGTGCCTATAATAAATACTATTTATTTTATGACGTTCGCGTTTGACTGACTGTTCTGGCTTTTGTTTTGTTTTCCGTAACTCGGATATTTCAATCGATATTTCTCATTGTGAGTGTAACGATGCCACAACTTTTAGGATTTCAAATTAAAAACGTATTTTTATCAAAATAAAACGGCATATGTTGCTCAGGAACAGTGTAGCTGTCTATTACTGACAACAATTTTTAAATCGTTTCAGTAGTTCCGAAGATTAGCTGGAACAAACTAGACAGACACTTCAATTTTATTTATATAGAAGAAAATAGAAGCAGATAGATGAAACTCAATTCGAATCATGGCATACAGTTCCTATTAGGTAGACTGGAAAGTAATGTCGTTTTTTTTACATTAAATTCGAACAAATTTTTAATAAATTTCTATTTTTAATCTATTACGTAATCGACTTTGTTATTAACAGCCTTTTTCCATTTAGTGTGCAAATTTTCAATGCCATATCGATAAAAATCAATGAGCTGATGAGTGATAAACAAGTATTTAAAATTGCACAAACGACATTACTTTCCAGTACACCTAATATTTCTTGATCTATTACTCAAGTGGAATTCCGCTCATTTATGATCTCCAGGAATCCGAATAGCGTAATAATTTTTACTATCATCCGATAGGGAAGTCGTTGAAAAGTATGTTTGCTTGCCACTCAATTAATATACAGCGTACGTACTCTGGTTATATGCGATCGTCTCGATATCATACGGTCGAGGACTTCTTAACGTTAATTAGATAAGTTGTAGTTGTAGGTTATATGAAATGAATTCAGTAATAGAGGAGATGAAACCGTCCATTTCCTGAATAGAAACGCTTCTTTTTCCTGTTAAATGGAATCAAACGGACCAACTCGGTTCTATATAACTGAAAACTGCTGCGTATTAATTAGGTGAATTGTAGTTTGAGATTATACGTAATTAGTTCGGCGCAAGACTGGTGGAAATGAAATCAATCGAACGTTTGCTTTCGTGTAACTCGAATGCGGAGTTTTATGCATTTATACGAAATTTGAATGTATAAGGAATTGCAAAATTCACACAGTATGTAATAACATAAAAAGTTACATTTCTGAAAGTGGAGTTTATATTACAATATTTTCAAAGTAAAATGAATTCCTAAGTTTTTATATTTGGTTAAAGTAATTCCATTTCATAAAGCAAAGGATATTTTATTTCGTGTAATCGATGACTACGATTCACCTAATTAATATTCATAAGCTTGTGTGTACACAAATTAAAACATGGCCATTCTGGAGTCTTGAATAAGTTACTTTTTATTTTACGTTTCGATTCTTTGTTTCGGAGTCATGTTCAGAAAGTTATAAATGTCACAACAAGATTTACTAAATAATTATGCAGACGAATGTAATTAAAAAACTATATTTAACAACAATGAATTCCATTTATACGTTAATTCAGTTCAAATTTTACGATAGAATTTAATAAAAAATCATACAAACAAATTTTTAAAAATTAATATCTGTAGAAATGTAAACGAATTGCACTAAATACGCCTTTCAAACACGAAACTATGGAAACAGAAAAATCCTATCACATATTAATTTAATCAATTTTTTGAAATATTGGAGATAAGTGTTAAAAGAAAAAAAATTGAAACGTAAAATAAACAATAGCTTGTTTTAGACAGCAAAATGATCACTGAATTAATTAACAAGAGTCCTCCGTTAGGTTCATTTCATGTAACCAGGGAAGCTAATGTTTTTATTCCACATTTCCCTTTATAATTCCATTTCATGAAATCGGAAAAAAATGATTTCATCTAGTCGGGAAGTGCTGTATTTCGTCATTATCTTGTTCGATATCGTCAACGAAATCTATGGGTGTGTACCTGGTAGGTACTAGAGAAAATTGAAAAACCATAAAATTGTAGCTACGCATTCGACAATAACTCGTTTAATGTTTGACAAACAAGACACGGGCAATGTATTTAACAATGTTCGAATGACGAGAATATCTCTGAGTCTCGATTGGTACGACGTTAAGTGGATCAACTTCAATTCGATAATTTCAGTAATTTATAGACCAAGATGATGTCCCAACTCGAAATTCAAAATCACCATTTTCACTTACATGATCGGTATAATATCCAGAAGCTCGTTTCACCTGATACGCCCCACGTGTATATAAACTTGGATCACGAGAACTTAATTGGAGGAAAATTTCTAATTTGATGGGTCCAAGGTACTATCTTCGTATATTGGTTCAGCCTTGTGTTACATTTTGCATTTTCGAATAACTTTGCGATTTAAACCTTTTAGTGATAGTGAAATATTAGTTGAAAAAGATCTATGTATATGTTTAGGTTATGCTTAGTCGGAAGTTCTTCAGACTCATATACCTGAAAATTATGATTTTCTGTTGCATTCTATGGTCAAACAGTACGTCTAGTTTTACAAATTTAAATGTGGATATTCTGTAGCAATTGTAATAAATTAGCTACTGTTTATTATTGGAAAAATACGCTAAGAACTTATAGATTAATGACACTAACTAGTGTAGCAATAATTTTATGGTTTCTGTTTGGTTTCAATGAATATTAACGCACATGGATTATTATTAAAAAAAAAAGATGTACGACATTTAGAAATTTGTGAATCTTTAAGAAAGATGAATTTGTTGGACTTTCCAAAACAATATTACATTTTCATTTGTTAATAGATTCGAAGATTATAATGACTAATTTCGTTGAATTGCTTTTTCGAATTTCTTGAATTATTATTTAAAATTCAATTTTGTTGTATATACTTATGCTTAAAGAAACAATATAAAAGTATAAAAATATGTATTCGATGGGCAATATGTAGAATAGATGGAAAAAAGGTAGATACAAAGTTTATCTTTATTCCATCTAACGTGTAATTTAAAAATTTGTAAACTGTACTTGGAAATATAATGTTTTACTACCAAACAAAGATACCGACGCTATGTTAAATAAAAGTGTAATATTGCTCTGGAAAGTTAATTTACAGTTAAATTATTCTCAACAATTAATTTCTCTTAAACAGTGACATCATTCCTTTGCAAAATTGGGTGGGCTAATAAGTTCGTAGCGTGTTATTTTTCCTCTTATTCTAGAACGATTTGTTTGCTGTTTGGCAAAGTGTTTATATGCGTTCGAAAGAGCTCTTTCTGTTTCAGAAAACTGCGACAATTGTTTTTTTGAATAATTTCATTGTTCTATTATTTATCAAGCTTAAAAATAGAATTTCTAGGAGGCAAGAATCAACATTTTTGGCATCTGCTTTTCTTTGTGGTAAAAAAGCTAGCGCAACCGCTCGGGAAATTTGCCTCGATGAAAAGCGAAGAAAAGCAGATGCCAAAAATGTCGGTTTATGCTTCCTGGAAATTCCATTTCTAAGCTTGAAAAATCATACAAAACTAAATTATTCCAAACAACAATTATCACAGTTTCCTATAGCATAAAGAGCTCTTTCGAATGCGTATAAACACTTTGGCAAACAGCAAACAAATCGTTTTAGAATAAGAGGAAAAATAAAACGCTACGAACTTATTAGCCAATACTTTTTAGCAAATACTTTCGATAACTTCCCCATCAGACTCGAATTACGTATTTCGGATTCCTTGTAATTCGTGGTCACGTGATCGAC